TCTGAGGTCTTAGGAATGACCATCCTTTATCTCCAAGGTAATCAGCATGCTCGCTGCTTAAATTGTGGCTGGAACTCCCTGCTACAGGGTCAGAACCAGACGAACCAAGTGCTCACAGTGAAGGTCCATGCTTTCCACTCTGAATCCCTTTGACTGGACTGCAGACCTTGGGTCACACCGACCACTTGCCGAGTCACAAACACCATCCTCACCAGAACAAATGGAGCCCTGCTGCGGCTGCGTGGCCAGAGACAGGGTTGATGTGGCCGCCCATGTTTCCTCAGCCACTGTGGCAGGATCACTGTACACCCAGAGGCTGTGTGGCTCCTAGTGGCACTGGGAGATAAAAGGTGTCTTGGTGTGTGCTCATCACTAGACGTACGACATGGATGTAAACTGAAAGAGTGTGTTTTGTTTTGTTTTTGAGACAGGGTCGCCTGGCCCAAGTTGGCCTGGAATGCACCACGTGACCCAGACTGCCTCCAGACTCCAAACTCCAACTCCCAGTACCTCTGCCGCAGCCTTCCCAGTGCTGGGACTACAGGGTCCACAGCCTCTGAGCAGAGCGAACATGTTAACACATACAGCCAAAATAGATTTGAAAAGATAGTATTTGAACTTTTTACTTCATGTTTTTAGTGTTTATTAATTTTTTTTTTTTTTTTTTTTTTTTTTTTTTTTTTTTTTTTTTTTTTTTTTTTGGTTTTTCGAGACAGGGTTTCTCTGTGTAGCTTTGCGCCTTTCCTGGAACTCACTTTGGAGACCAGGCTGGCCTCGAACTCACAGAGATCCGCCTGGCTCTGCCTCCCGAGTGCTGGGATTAAAGGCGTGCGCCACCACCGCCCGGCTTGTTTATTAATTTTTAATATTTAATGTTAATCTGATAGAGAAATTTAATATTTACCTCTCCAGTGTGCTATGTTTACTCCCTCTCAAATCCCTTCCCACGGGGTCTCTGGCTGTCCGTACCCCAGTGAGACCAGGGCTATTGGGAATTTTGTTCTATGTTCCCTCTTCTTGCCCCTGGTCAGTTTCAGGTACAGTGTTCCAGAAATTACCGGCCCTACCCCCCCCCCAAAAAAAGAAAAACCTAAGTAGCTGCACTGTACAGGACATTGCAGAGCTGGCCATCACCCGCTCATCCCTGCACCCACAGACAGCCAGAGCCTCTCCCACCTGCCACTCAGTGGTCCCCACAAGCACAGCTGTTCCGCAGAAATGTCCCAACATGCTTTCTGGGCCACTGTCCCTTTGAGTACATTGAGATGGAGTAGTGACTGGTCCAGTGGCAGATGCATTTGTAGGACCTGGTCATCAAGGATGGTGTTGTCCTTGAGCTTCCTGTGGGTCCTCAGAACCTGTGACCATTGTTCCTCAAGCCTGCCTGTGGTAACTGGGATAGGAGAGGTCAGTCTTACTCCTCGGGTCTCCTTCCAGCCCTCACGTCTTTGCAACCATTTAAGGTTAGGATGGCTGTTTCCTTGAGAGGCTCACAGAGTGGTAGGGTGCTAAAGTGGGAGCTGGGAAAGGGCTCATCTCCAACCTGCCCTGGAGCCGGGGCCACATGTAGGCAGCTGTTTCCTCCTGTCCTGCTTCTCACACCTCCTGTCAGTCATAGTGCAAAGCCCCACCCACCTGTCACGCTTGACTCAGCAAATACCCACAGGCCATGGCTGGAGTGGAAAAAGAGGAGGCAGGCAGAGGGATGGTACCCAAGGCAGCCTTGGGGTATGATCAAATGTCCTTGATGCCCAGGAGCAGGTGCCAATGAGAGTCCCTGGTAACCTGGTTTCCAGGAGACTTGGGCAGCTATCACAAAGTAATTCAGAGTTCCAAGCCATTTTAACACAATGAATCTTGGGACTAGGATGGTAAGTTTTACGGGGTGCAGGAAGGGGTTAGACTCATCATTTCCAGTCTCTGGTTATTCTCTCACCTTGGTACCAGGACAGCAGCCCTCCCCAAAGACTCCTCAGAGCTGGCTGCACGTAGGATGGATGGGCCTAGTGTCTCTGCAGCTGCAGCTTCCCGGGGGGAATCCCTGTGAGAAGTAGCCAGCACGTTCTGAGACTGTACATCCGCAGCTCCTTCACTACATGAGGAGGCTTGGAATTAGCAAACTGACTCCTCTCTGTAGAGAAAACTCCAACCCAGTTAGCCCCACCAGAAGCACTCAGCGAACCCGAGAGAGACTGGGGTATTGGTGAAATTATTAATGGCTACCCACTACACTGGGGTTTCTGAGCTGTTTAGTAAGATGAAGTGTCTCCCGCTCATGACGCAACAGAAATTACTTGAGGAATTTCAAGTGGTTCTGAGAAAATCTTTAGGATGTCAACACTAGTGCCCTTTCTAAAGACTGCAGCCTTTGCCTACGTGCACACAGAGCCTGCCTGTGGCTTCCTGTGAAGGACCCCTGCAGCACAGCCAAGTAGCAGAGCTGTGGGAGGTGGGCTGGAAGCTCAGGAGATACATCCTCAACCTCTGTCTAGCAGGCCTGGGGTTGAGCACAACTGTGTCCCAAGGACCTCCCTTCAGTCCCATGTTCTGCCCCAGTCTTTCTGGGCTGTGACCTTGTCCTTACCTCCTGTCCCCTGTCTGCCTCTGAATGCCTCCCTCATACTGTCAGAACAAAACACAGCTCCTCCTTCACACGGGAGTAAGAGTTTATTCCAAGACGGTGAATATGAATTCCGTAGAGGTTACTATGGTCTAGGAACATGACTTCAGATTGCTCCCAATGACTTGTTCAACCATGGAAGCAGTTACCTGAACAAAAGAAACCCATAAACCAGTGCATGTGAGTGGGAGAGCGGTTTGCTGTACAAGCATGATGGCCTGAGTCCCAGAACCCAGTACAGAAGCAAGGTGTAGTAGAGTGCACTTGTAATCCCGGTGCTGGGGACGTGGACACAGGCAGATCCCTGAACTCACTGGCCGGCCAGCCGGGCCTACTCTACGCACTCTAGGCCAGTGAGAGGACCTGTCCCAAACAAACAAATAGGTGCTGCTTGAGGAATAACCCAAGGCTGGCCTCTGGCCTCTACACATACATAAGTGCACACACAGCTGTACCAGTGTACCGATCGGGCACCTCAGGTGGGGTCATTGCAGAACAAGACGTTTGCGCGGTAGGCTTCATTGTCTAATGACGTTCTTGGCTTCAGGGTTGGTGGCAGCTAGCGGTCCTGCTTAGTTAACACATTTCAAAGGTTTTGTGTAATAGTCAAAAGAGCAGATGCAGAGGTAGATGATGAGTGGCTTTTAAGATAACCAGAGAGCCCAAACTCATCTTGACGCAGACTCTCCCACACAGGTGTGGCTCTTCCAGGGAGCATTCGTTCATGGTGCCTTGCACCCTACCTCCAACTCATCCTAGTTTTTCTAAACTATGCACCATGCATCTGTCCAGAAAAATCAGTGCACATAGCAGGATTTCATATGTAGAAATATGCTCTCAGTTCAGAAAGCAGATTCTAAAACAGTGTGACTACATTTGTAAGAAAAGAAGAAAAGAGTGCGACCAGATCCATAGGAAGATGGGAAGGAGACCCACTGCTGTGGCGGGGTGGGAGTGCAGCCATTGAACGTGTTTGGGCTCACCTCTTTCCCTCGGTGAGCATGTATCACTTTGATGCTGTATCCTGCCCCCCGTACTGTAGACAGTTTCAGGGAGCTGGATATGAATTAAGAACTGACAATAACACAAAGAAAACTTATGCAATTAATATGTGCTAATAAAATAGTTTTAAAAACACATAATGCTGGGGCACTGCAGACAGGTGGATCCTGGGGGCACACTGGCCATCCAGCCTACCCTCATCAAATTCCAGGCTAGAGAGGAACTTGTCTCAAAATTACCAAGTGTACTCACTGCACCTGAGGTTGAGCGCTCTCTCTGTCTCTCTGTCTCTCTGTCTGTCTGTCTCTCTGTCTCTCTCTCTCTCTCGCTCTGTCTCTCTCTCTCTCTCTTACACACACACACACACACACACACACACACACACACACACACACACACATTTAATTTTAAAGTTGTGAAGCAGAAGAGATGGCTCAACAGTTAAGAACACTGGTTGCTCTTCCAGAGGACCTGGGTTCAATTCCCACCACCCACATTGGCAGTTCACAATGCACCTCCAGTTCTGGCGGATCAAACACCCTTTTCTGGTCTCTGTGGGCACTAGGCACACAAGTGGTGCACAGATACATGCAGGAAAATGCCCATACACATAATTTTTTAAAGTGCCACTGGCTTCTTTTTCTCTTCTTCTTTTTTTGGCTTTATAATACTTGAGGGCTGGGGTAAGGGGCACCAGGGCCAGAAGTTTGCATTGACTCTGAGTCCCCCCCAGTTAGAAACTGCGAGGAGCATGGGCTGTGGGCACTCTGTAAAGGACTACCACATGGGGAGCCTGTTTCCACAGTCTCATAAATTCAGTCTCACTCATCTCAACAAAAGAACTGGTGCTCTTATGTAACTTACCTGCTATTTGTTATAGTCCATTTCCTCTCCCACTCTTCCTGGACTAACCTCAGAAGTGCCCCGCAGCCCCAGAGCCTCCGCCCTCAAGCCCCACAGCCCCTGAATCCCACAGTCCCTGAGCCCCACAGGCCCCAAGTCCCACAGCCCCTGAGCCCCGCAGCCCCTGAGCCCCACAGCCCCTGAGCCCCACAGGCCCCAAGTCCCACAGCCCCTGAGCCCCACAGCCTTTGAGACCCACAGCCCCTGAGCCCCACAGGCCCCAAGTCCCACAGCCTTTGAGCCCCACAGCCCCTGAGCCCCACAGCCCCCGAGTCCCACAGCCCCTGAGTCCCACAGCCCCCGAGTCCCACAGCCCCCGAGCCCCACAGCCCCTGAGCCCCACAGCCCGGCTGTTGACAAAGTAACAACCTTCCCCTCCTCGCGGCCGAAGCCACCACTGCTCATTCTGGACACAGTCACCTTCTCTTGTGTAAATCATTCACTGAATCCTCCTTTTCTCCTTTCTGTTTTCCAGCCCGCCTAAACCAACAGTGTTCATCTCTGGAGTCATTGCCCGGGTAAGTGTGACCTCTGCACAGGGACAGTGGAGCGGGGGCGGTCCTGCACCTGACCTGCTCCTGTGGGAGTGTGGGCGCATGAACTCCCAGGCGATCTCTTCTTGCCTGTGTCTTCAATAAGCATCAGTGCTACCCATCTGACCTGGGGCTGGTGGCTTTCTTCAGTGACATACTTCCTTCCGGGAGCGTGCTTCAGTGGGTATCAGGAATCCGTGCTGCCCACAGCTGAGCACCTGCCTCCATGCTGCAGAATCACCTGTTCCTGACCTGTGGCCTGACCTGCAAATGTTTTCCCGTCAGTACAGGGTACGACACAGGAGACCTAGTTGAAATACCAGTTCAGTATTTGTGAGTGAAGGTTTAGTAGTATGCAGCCAGGCAGGCCCGTGTGTGTCCTGCCCAACTGCTTTTGTTTGCTGGCCCTCAGACTGCACTCACGTTTTCTGCCACACCATGTACCTTTGAGGAGCCCTCTTCTCTCAGAATCCAAGCTCCACTGTCCAAGGAAGCTCCCATTGTTGGGGACAACTTTGCTGACAAAACTGTCACAGCCGTCTTAAGACCTGGGGCCAGGCCATGGCGGTCTGCTGTGTGCAAGAATATTAAATGTCTGCATAAGGCCAGACTCACTCCTCGATTACATGGTCCTGACTGCCCTTGTCCAGATCAAACCCCACTGCTGGCGTGAGAAGCCGAACACAGCCAGGCCCTTTCTCCAGGCCCCCGCAGGCTGCTTCACCAGTCCCTCCGCCCAGTGTTCCCAGCCATGCTCACAGATCCCGGTGTGAGATTCTAGACTTGTCTGCTTGCTCCCGACTCACGTGACCAAAACAGATCCAGATGGGAAAACACCTGAGTCTTCTCCAGGCAGACGCGCAAGCGTCACCGCTGTCCCATCGTGGGGGCTCATGCCACCGTCTGCTCCCTGGTTCTGCTGGCCTGCAGGGCCTGGCCAGCCACAGCAGTAGCCCACTGCTAACCCATCCCCCACCCCTGCAGGAGACTGGCGGGGCTGGGTTGGGAGGACTCTCTCTCCACGCTATTCATTGACTGTTAACCAGCCTGTCTATTGTCTCCTCGCAGGGTGACAAAGACTTTCCCCCAGCGGCTGCACAGGTGGCCCACCAGAAGCCACATGCCTCCATGGACAAACACGTTTCTCCAAGAACACAGCATATCCAACAGCCTCGCAAGTGACCTGTGCCCAGACCCCGGCGCCCAGACCCCAGCACCCTCTGCAGCAGCAGCAGCAGCACCCAGGCCCGCCTCCCACGATTCTCCCCTGACCAAAAAAGAACTTGCACTTTCCAAGCAGTTTACTAAGTTCAGAAACCTAAGACAAAGCAAAGTGAACCCCCTAAGCAAAGTGGACCCCCATTGTCTCGGATCCCCGTATTTAAAACTAGAAGAGGCTCAAACCCCAAACTTTGTTTCTAAGAGTCCTAGTCGTGTCACTGAAGGGTCATTGTAGCCACCAGAAGTGCCATTAGCAGAACTTGACAAGTCCTGAGGAAGCCCCTCACGCAGTCCTTTGAAGTCCTTACTCTTGGTCCTAAAAGGAAGAAGCCACTATGGGGAGATTTGATAAAGTTAGGAAAACAAAACAAAACACTATGATAGATACGGCTTTCATCAATTGTGCGTACTTCCTGCCCTCGGACACGCTGGACTGCCCTCAGTTCATGGCTACAGAATTCCCGCTTTTCTGAAAAGTCAGAGGGCTCCTTTAGCCAGATGGAGAACCTTCTAGAGTGCTGCTCATGGAGAGTGCCTCAGAGGGGTCAGCTGCGGGTCACGGCAGCGGCGGCTCTGTGTGTAGCATCTGCACCACCAGCTGTTCAGGAACGATTCACCAGGCCTGAGCCATTTCACTGAAGGAGGGACAGGCTCCTTGAATATTATACGCCATTTGGTGCCCCGGCAGTGGACTTAACAGGAAGCAGGCCCTAAACCTCAAGACCCTGTTTGGTCGGTCTCTTCCTTCTTAATTACTGAAATGGTGGGGACCAAGGGTCACGTTAGCGACCCAGGCTTGGCCTCAGCACTGCCATGGAACCCACTGCCTTGCTCTGTCGTGTGGAACCAAATGTAGGAAGGGACCTGAGAGCAGGCAACACCAGCTCCCCCTGTGCAGACCTTCTCACCTTCTGTTGCAGAGATCCTGAAGCATCCACAATCCCTTTTAGTTCAGCACCCTGGGGGGCAGCCTCGTGTTCCATGTACTCTGAGCTGGCTCTGGTGTGCGTCTGTGGGCTCTAGGTCACTGGATGTGACATGTTCCCCTAAATGAATTTCTTAATCATTGACATTGAGAATATGTTGATTATAATAAAGCTCCTGCATTCTGCCTTGGTCTCCTTCTTATGTCTCAGAGACTCCCTCTTACAGCTTCCCGGGGCTGCCGGCTGTTTCTTCAGTGGACGGACGTGTTAACAGGCACACGTGATGGATATCCTCAGCACTGATGTCCCAGACATAGAGTTGTGCTGTTGGGACACCTGGCAAGTCAAGCCTGGTCCCTTCTGTAGCTGTCGGAAGATGGAAAGGTTTAATCCAGTTGATGGACATGTCCTGCTTGGGTCCAGCAGCTCGCCCTGTGCTGGGGAGGTCCTCCCGGGGGGAAATTAAACGAAAATTATTAGTACTAAGCCCAGGGGTAATGCTGAACAGCTTTTGATATGCAAGACATTTACCTACTTCAGATCTTCCTAGACAAGAAAGTCATCCCAGTTGCTAAGGCTGGAGCCCCAGCACCAGGCTGCTGAAAATTTCCACCCACAGCTGCCTGTAAGTCAGGAAGGACTTGAGAGGATCAGGAGTTGAAGGCCACCTTCCATGTGGCTGCTTCTGCAGCTCCCTCTGGCCCTGCCCTTCTTTGGCTAGTCTGGTCACCCATGGAGGCCACTGTTGGTATTCGTGTGTCCCGAGTCATAAAGAACAGCAATGTGGATCTTTATTTTGCATCCAGGGACAGAGGGATGTTCTTGGTAACTAAGTGTGGTCAGTAGACACCATAGCATCCCCTGTCACCCGCTGTAGGTTTCAGAACCAGCCCCAGAATGGACAGGCAGAGAAAAGACACACGGGACAACGTGCTCCGGCCCCACGCCAAGCAACTGCCCTGGGTGCTGCCTCTCCTGCTGTTCATGGTTCAGTCACGTCTGTGGTCCAGGCTCAGCTTTGCACCGAGTGACCTATCGGTGGGCGTGTTCTAGTGTGGGAGAAGACAAAATAAATCTCCATAGTCGGTGTCAAAGTCCCATTAGCAAACGGTTCTCTGATAAGATACACTAATGGCCAGTAAGCTCATAAAAAGGGACATGTCCTAGCTGGGCATAGTGGCACATGCCTATAATCCCAGCAGCTGAGGGGCTAAGAAAGGAGAATCATGAGTTCAAGGCCATCTTGTGCTACATAGTCATCAAGGAAATGAAATTTAGACCCACAATGAAATGCTGCAGAAAGATGGCTAAAACCAAGCAAGGTCAGGCAGTTACAAGAGCTGACAAGAACGTGTAGAAAATTCTCATACAGTACTGTTGGGGGTGTGAAATAGTGCAGCCCCTTGGAGAAAGAATCTAGTGGCTCCCTGAGCAATTTAGCATTTACCTACCAGCTACTTACCGCTGGCATGTGGCCAATAGACGTAAAGACATGCCTACACAAAGCTTGCACACAGTGTCTATAACAGCATTATCCCAAAGGCAGAAATTACTCAAATGCCTTACCTACTGAAGAATAAATTGTTTAATTAGGTATATTCATACAATAGAATATAAATCAGTAATAAAAAGGAATGGATGTGGTTCACTGCAACATGGATGACCCCAGGAAACACTACACCAGTCAAAGAAGCCCGTCACAAAAGACCACACATTATCTAAGGTCATCCCTGTGCAATGTCCAGAATGGAAGTCTAGAGGAAGGGCCATTAGGATGTGGGCAGATGGAATAGGAAAGTCACAGCTAGGAGAGAGTGTCTGCTGGTCTTGATGAGGACACAAGTTCAGTTCCCAGCACCCACACTGGGTCGCTCAGAACTGCCAATCACTCCAGCTCCAGGAGATCTGAGGCCCCCTTCTTGCCTCTGCACACCGGCATACATGCTTGCATACACACAGAAAAACACACATAGATAAAAATGTGTAGCCGGGTGGTGGCAGCGCACGTCTTTAATCCCCGCACTTGGGAGGCAGAGGCAGGTGGATCTTTGTGAGTTTGAGGCCAGCCTGGTCTACAGAGCAAGATCCAGGAAAGGCACAAAGCTACACAGAGAAACCCTGTCTCAAAAAACCAAAAAATAAAAAATAAAAGAAAATGTGTACACTGGGAATCACATCTCAATAAAGATTGCTTCTTTAAAAGTAGCTGTCAGCTAATGGCGACACTGAGGCTTGCATCCACATGGTTCTGACTCCAGAGCCATCAGGTCCACAGAGCCACAGGCCACATGGCCATGGGAAGGAAGAGCTGCTGCCCATCTGGTCACAGAGTGTGAGAGGCAGAGGGGCAAGCGATTGCTGTGTTTTCAGGCCTGTAGCCAAGATGCTGGGGACAGTGATACTAACAGGAATGTCGGTGGAGAAAGAACTTGAATGGGAGAAAAAAGACCACTCATGGCCGACTCTTCCGTGGCCTCAAGCAGAGCTACTGATCAGAGTTTGACAGGTTGAAATGAAGACTGGGAGAGACGCCAGGGCTGGCTGCAGCCTGGGGTCCATTGGCATGGAAGCACTAACGAACACTGGGGTTTGGTGAGGGAGAGGGTATAGACATTTCCCCTGGGAACACTGCAGATGTGACCGAGGAGGTGCCAGTGAGGCAGAGGGGAGGTATGCCAGAATGCACACATGGCAGATAAAAGACTGAACTAGACCAGGAACTATGTGGGTGACCCTGGGCTAAGAAAGCTTCCATAAATAACCCTGGGAGCTAGAACAGGAAGGCCCGATGTTGCCTCCTCACCTCCAAGGAGGGCAGATGCCAAATGCAAATGGGTCCTGGATTTGTTCTAGATAGAGCGACACGCATCTTACAGGTTTTCCTCAGCTCCGAGAGCCTGGGACAACAGAACGTAGAGCTCAGGATAAGCCTCTGATTTAAGATCTACTTTGTCTGACTGTTACCCACAAGCCCTTGGGCAGCTTGTCTTTCCCCCCGCCCCAAGTCTTAGTTTTATCATCATAACACAGGGAACTTTGCAGAATCTCCCAGAAGTTCCCAGGTAACCCTTGCACATGCTGAGACAGTTCTCTATTAACCTTGATGTGCCATCGTTCTTATTTATAAAGCAAGATCAGAGATGCTATGAATTCTGTCCAATTATCAAATTCCAACAGGAGGTTGGGTAACAGATGGGAAAAACAAACCTGAGATGCACCAGGAGCACAGCCAGACATCACCAATCCTGAGCTGCACCAGGAACACAGCCAGACATCACCAATCCTGAGCTGCACCAGGAGCACAGCCAGACATCACCAATCCTGAGCTGCACCAGGAGCACAGCCAAACATCACAAGCTCAGCTGTTGCCCGGAAGGTACACAGTATTGCCTTGCACACCCGCCCACCACTCTTCCATATGTCCAGGTGTGGAAGCCAGGTAAGCCTTCAGTGCATCCAGGAGCCAAGACACTGGTGAGACATGCCACAGCTTCTGGTAGCCCCAGCCACTGGACAGTGGAATGGCCATCAGCCAAGCAGGGTATAACCTGGCCTAGTGGAGCCTGAAACTCAGATGCCCTAGAGCTGGGTAGGGGGAAGATATTAGCAGACCCAGCAGATTTGTGATTAATTAATTATTTTCTAAACAGCTGCCTCCTGCCACCACAGCAGATTCCCCAACTTCCCAACTGCTGTGCTGATTAAATGTTGCTTTTTACAAACTCAAAAGGAATTCTTCCCCAAGACGGGGCATCCTGCTGGCTTCTGCAGAATCAAAACACAAACCAAACAAAAACCTAGGCCTTTCACAAGGCTCCAGGGGGACGTCTATGGCCATGTGCACCTGAAGAACCAGGAGACAGCAGTAGGGGATTTTCAGCACTTGCAATTTCATCATAACTGTGGCCTAGACCAGGAATCCCCAGAGAACCAGAGCCAAAGGGTGTTACTATACACGGCCACATCTCACATAGTGTGGCCATGATGGGCTCATACATCTCGTTCTGTATTAACTAGGTGTTTCCATGAGATTACATCACCTAGGGGCATTGCACCTATCACTGCTGTGTAAGTACACGTGAGGTTTGAAAATGGCTAGATCATGTCATGGCTCATTTCTCAGAACAAACACCTATTCTTAAGTGGCATCTAACTATGCACAAGCACATTCATGGAAACTTTTTTGCCCTTATTTACAATTTCATATCCATACACAGTGTGGGTTTTTTTTCTAATTTTTATTTGTGTGTGTGTGTATGTATGTGTGTGTGTGTGTGTGTGTGTGTGTGTGTGTGTGTGTGTGTGTGTGTGTGTGGTATATGGGCACCTGGTGGAGGGCTATGCCCCTGAGCACAAGCAGAAGCCAGAGGAGGACATGAGGTGTCCTGTTCTCTCATTCTCTGCCCTAGTCTCTTGAGACAAGGTCTCTCACTGAGCCTGTAGCTAGGCTGGCAGCCAGTAAGCTACAGTGTTCATACTATCTCATTCCACATAGCACTGGAGTTACAGGGCTACACAGCCAAGCCTGTGTGTGGGTGCAGGGGTTTGAACTGGGGTCTTCATTTCTGTGAAGCAAGCCCTCTTGATGCTAAGCCAGCTTCCAGCCCTACACTGTTTGTTTTTAAAGTCTCACATACACAATGTATTTTGATCAGATTTATACTTGTTTCCCTGTCATTCTTGACCAAGCCCTGTCTTTCCAACTAGACTCTCTTCTACTTTTATGCCTTTTTTTAGGTGGTGGTGGTGGTGGTGGTGGTTTTGAAACAGTCTGTGTAGGCCTGACGGGCCTGCAATATGCTAGATAGACCAGGTTGGCCATCCTCCTGCCTGTGTCTTTCTTAGTGCTGGGATTACAAGTATAAGTCACCAGGTGTGGTGGTGCATGCCTCTAATCCCAGCACTCAAGAGGAAGGGGCAGGCAGATCTCCATGAGTTTGAGACCAGCCTAGTCTACATAGTGAGTTTCAGGACAGCCAGGGCTATAGAGAGAGACCAAGTCTCAAACACAAATAAGTAGATAGATAGATCATAGGTAGATAGATAGATAGATCGATAGATAGATAGATGATAGATAGACAGAGAGATAGGTAGGCAGATGGATGATAGATAGATAGATAGATAGATAGATAGATAGATAGATAGATAGATGATAAATAAAAATACAAGTGTGGACCACCGTTCT